GTTGAAGTCATCACCAACCATAGACAAGCTGCCCTACGTGCCCCACAGCCCCTTCCACCTCTTCTCCTATGACTTTGAGGACTCTCCCTTATCCACCAAAGAAAAGGAAGCAGAGTCCCAGAAGGAAAACAGGTAGATTTGCCCACCTGGAGGCTTGTTTGTGGTTAACGGGGGAAGAGAACACAGCCTGTGAATGTGCCGCTGGGTTTGTGTGGAATCATTCCAAACAGGGAGCAGTCGTGGCATAAACTAACTTCCTGACCCCTAACTAAATAATGAACACTATTTAGATATGAGGGAGAAGGAAATGGTCATCCAGAAGGAGATCTCTTGTTATAATAGTTAATAATAGATTTTAAATGCACAGTTCTATAAATATGTATGGGATGTCCAAGTCTGTGCTCCTTGCTTCCCTCTGTCTGGCCTGAAGTCGCTGTGACCCGCGGGGTGCAGCAGGGCGCTTGCTGTCCTTCCCTGTAGCATTGTCAGTGGGTTTCCTTCCTTTGACAGTTCCTCCGATTCTGCCTCTGAACCCTACAACTTCCGGTCTTTCTCTTCTAACAGGTGGGTATCTTTTCTTTATTTTTTCTCCCCTTTCCATTGCTTTTTGGTTTGTATTCTAATGTATGTATCTTTCTTTTCAAAGATTTCTTCTAGCTTTCCATAAGATGGCACACAATTACAGTCTGAACCACTGAGTGGGGCATTAATATAATTACATTATTTAACTATGAACACTTAAAGAATTCTTTTCAGAACTGGAGATGGGACAGAAGGAGGAGTGCAAATCAGAACTCCTCGGGGAATGTGTCACAGGTGCCGTCTGCCTGCTGGGTGACTGCCCTTCACTATTGTCTGAATTAGGAGCTCTCTGCCAGGGAATGGGCTGACTTATGTTTTGAACAACCAATTGTCCACAATCAATAGTTAGTCATTCTGATGGCCACTCTGATCTTAGTGGTAATAGCTAATATTTATTGGACATTTATTATGAGCCAGGTCCTGTGTTGTCTATGAAATCAGTGATTTAATATATCACTTAACCCTTGAGAGGCAGGTTCTGTTACTAGCCCTTATTTACAGTGGGGAAACTGAGGCACATAAAGGCTAAGTAATTTGACCAGAGTCACTGAGCACTGGTGGGGGGTGGGGAATGGTTTCCACCCCAGATGGCCTGGCCCAGAGTAGGGTCCTAACCTGTGCATAGTACTGCTTCCTTGTCTTTTGGGCAATCTCACTCTCTCCCTACTGGGCTCACCCATGCCAGGCAAGCCCTCATCACCAAGTAGCTTTTTCCAGATGTGTTTGGGGAACCCCAGCCTAGATTCCTTCCATGAACTGGTGCCCTGTTTTAAATGAAGGATTGTAGGATCTGGACCTAGAGGGCAGCTCTTTTATACCACAAAAATGACCACTCTTTTTTATTTGTCTCCGACCTTTTGCCTAATAAATAGAAACATTAATCTACAATTGTGACCATCAACCATTTTTGCTTACACATAACCTAAAATATTTTTGAAGCTCCCCTCAAAGTTTAAAGTGGACTATCTAAGGTTTTTTAAATCATAATTTTAAATAGTTGTAAAGGATATAATGTGCCTGGTGTAGGTATGCTTTATGTTTTTGTCTAAGCCTTGGTGCTTCAGATGGGACTGATGTAATTATGGGGAACAGTACATGTGTCTAATTGGCAAAGAGTCCTCAGACAACTAAGACCTAATTTCTATTAGAAAAAGTCTGACTTCATGTTTCAATTCAATAAGCTTCTATGTGTCCCTGACAACTGCCTCCATTCTGGGTCTGATTCTCAGGTGGGTGGGCGGGCAGGTAGATAGACATCAAGCATGAGGTCTTGCTCTTGGTTTTTCCCCTGGATAAATAAAATGATGCCTTTTCCCTGCTCAGTATTTCTTAAGGAATTCCCTCCTCAGTGATGCTTTTCCAGATCATTCCTTTGCTTGGCACCCTGGAGGTTTTACAGCAAGGCAGCGCTCCAGTCTGATTCAGTCTTCTGGAGAGCTTTACTTTTGGTTTTAAAAGTGGAAGGCAATTGTGGAAGGAGAAGCAGGAAGGGGTAACTGGGAGAGCCTAGAGCAGCACAGGCAGACCTATTTTGAGACAGAGCAGATATGGAACTTGAGGATCTGAAAATCCATTTCCTCTTGTTTTGAGAATGGCTTTGTAGACCTCCAGGAGTTGTAAACTGTGTTTGAAAACCTTAAAACTATAAATTCTCTCCTAAGCCTAAAATTCTGGGATTGTTGTGATCTTTTATACAATGTTTGTGGATTGAATCCAACATGACTGTTATACCCTCCAAGAACAATATCTATGTGCAAGTTAGGAGCTGTATGTTTGATTGGAATAAAAATATCTTGGCAATCTCGTCTTTCCCAGCAGAGTGTGTTAGCCCATGATGGTGACAGACTCAGCCTCTAATGGTGTTTTTCTGGGCCCCAGTTCCCTCCCACTTGGTCTACAAGCTTCCTTACTACTTATGGTCCTAGGAGATGGGAGCACAGAAACATATAAATTATCCAGTTGAATTTTCACATTAATTCTGAAAAATAGCCATGTGCTTATGAATGAGGATTAACTTTGATTTAACTGAGCAGAGTTTTAAAACTTTTTAAATCATTTGGCAGAAATTTGAGTACTGTACAAATATTGTTTGAACCTATTGAATTTTCTGATGTTCACTTGCTGTGGTTTTCGTGGGTCCGTGTGGCCACAGATGTGACTACTCATTAGTGGACTACAGTAGAATGGGCTGTAATAGAGACCAACCAGTTAGTCATTGAAAGGAGCCTCCCCTCAACACATACACAAAAAAACCCAGTGAATTGTATGATCCCATTAGTTTGGCTGAAATTGAGACGCAAACTATGAGGCATTTGAATTAATTGCTTGGCCATTAGAAAAACCAAAGGAGGGAAAAACACATTATGCCTGATTTATTTCCATGATGTCATTTAAACACAATTTTAGCAAAGTGACCCTGTTTAAACATTCTGCAGGATGTCACTTGTGGTCAGAAGGGGTTCATTTTAGCTGCTAGGATAGGATGACAAGCTGAGTGTCCAGGTGCTGCAGGAGCTGGGCACAGTGGCCAGCCTCGGTGGGCAGGCGGCCTCCTTCCCTTCCCTGGACACAGCGCTGGCTGTCTGGTTTCTCTCCCTCTTTGCTCATCAGCACTCCCTCCCTTCACTATTTCTTCCTTTTTTTTTTGTATGTTCCTTTCATCCTTTGCCTTTCTGCCTTCTACTTGACTCTCTGTGGTTTGGGAGCCCTCTTGAAAAATCAAACCAATCACTTGGAGAAGCAATTAACCTGTTGGACAAATAGAGTATTAGGTTTTTAAAGGGTAGAGAAAATGATCGGCCTAAAACCAATTCCCGCAAAGACAGTGTGTTAACAGAGAAGGACGATGGAGTAAAATGGTGTGGTCTGAGTCTCCATCTGCCTGGCGCCGTGCCTGGCGCTGAGAACATGCCTGACATGTGAAACCAAATAAACAAATAAGGAGAGCATCAGCCAATCTGGCTGGAGTGAGTGGTGCAGGATCGGTCTGGGCAGTATAAATATTTTATTTTCCATTGTAATAATGGAATTTATTATTGAAAAATGAAATTCCATCTCTGCATTCTACTTTTTGAAAAAATAGACCTTTTTAATATTTTTTCTACACATATTGTTTAACTTTTGAGACTTTGTGCAGGTAGGATCAAACCATGTATAATATTATATCCTGATATTTTTATTCAGTCTATCAACTTTTCCATATGGTTGCAAAATTATCATTTTTAATGGTTGCATAATAGTCCATTGATGAATACCATATCATACTTTGTAGTGTTGTTACCTGATTGGGTAGTTTTCAGTTTTCCATTATGACCTAAGTAATGCTCTAATGAATATCTTCGTGCATGATATTTTTAGTATCTAAATAATCATAAGGTTATTTCTTTGTCACCTTTGCCATAGTGAACTTACTCTGGCAAAGGATACATGCATTTTGAAGTCAAATTCCTATCCAGAAGGGATTCTGATTTCTGTTGATGGGAGTTTGAACTGAATTCTCCATGTGCAGGAAGGTCTTTGTGCACATAGGTCATAGTGACCCTTGGGGTCCCACACATCATAATGCAGCGTCCCTAACCAGTTTAGGGGAAGGAGTCAGCCCTGCTCTGTGGCTGGATACTCTGTGGCTGGAGAATGAGAAGCAAAACTCTCCGAATCTCATTATTTGTAACTAATCATGAATGTCTTTTCCCATACAAGGACTTCACATGGTGATTTGGTTTGGGGGGGGGGTGTTCTTCATAATGATAGCTAAAGATGAGGTGCTAAAGGACATCTGTTTTGAAAAACAGAAAGAAAATGCTAGAATTTTACAAATCCTAATATTTAACTTGTCAGACATGTCTGGGAAATAATCAAAGCTTATGTAAACTTAGTGGCTGTCATTTTGGTTCAGGGGGAATTGTGTGGGATGAAAATGTGAATACTCACACCTCTAAGTAACAAGCCCATCCAGAAGGCCTGGGGACGGTATCTCTTTGATCACTGAGCATATGATAGGATTATGTTTATTGAATGAAATGGATTCAGAAATACCTAAAGTGGAATTTTTAGTAAGATGTTTCTTTATCCAATTGTGGTATTTCCTGCAGACCTGCAGTGGAATGAGAACACTGATTGTGCCCCCATGAGAAGCCAGAAAATCTTCATGGTTCAAATGAAAATAATTTGGGGTTTTAAATTTATGTTAGCAAATAATTTTCATATACATTTTAAAAGACAGGAAATGCAAGGGTTTTATTTAAACGCTTTGTTCTAAATCTTGTTACCTAATGGTTTTGAATTTGGGGAAATTTCTCTATGGAGAAGTTAGCAGAACGAACCAGTTAGTAAATCTCTTTAGACAGTTATCACTAACAGTGGCAGCATCTCCAGGCCCATTCTCTTGCAAAAAATTAAGATGGCTTGCTAAATCTTATTTATTTAATGTTTTAGACTCATTTATCTGTTCTTTTCCCCTCAACTTAAACCTCTGTACTTTTTAGATACAGCAACTTTGGCAACAGCTCTTACCACTCCTCGAGACCCCCGTCTGGATCCAGTGTGCCCACCACCCCCACAGCCTCTGTGTCCTCTCCCCAGGAGGCCAGACTGGAAAGGTGAGTTGTGCTGATGGCTGTGGTCCTTAAGTGAGGGGAATCAATTTGATTAAGAATGGTTAAAGGGAAAATGTAAACAGAAGCCACAATGTGAAGTAGTTTCCTTTCCAAAGGTAAGACTATTTTCTCTCTTTCGCATTATTTATTAAGTATATATTTCATTAGGGGTTATTTTGTTGTTGTTATTGTGGCCTCATCCCATGCACATGTTCCATAGGAAATCTAAAAATTTCTCCTAAAATATTTGTGTGAATATTTGCATTCGTCCCTTAAAAATTGTTCTAGATTTCATGTAAGGGCTATGATTTGTCTCACACACATCTGTTTTTACCTTTGAACGATTAAATCTATGTAAATCCGAAGGTGGTGGGCCCATTAAGGTGCTATGTAATTAGTCCAGGACCTACCAGAAGAGAAAAGAATTGTATGGATATATGGAAGGAATTTAACTTGGCAAGAGTATCAGACCACCATAAATTAGCTGGTTATGACTCCTAGAAGTAAATGATTGTACAAGGATGTGTTTACAAGGGAAAGGTAATACCTGTAATTTCAGAACAATTAGAAACAGCCATCCTTACATGGCAAGAGTGCTCAGTTTGAGAAGACTGGTTAGAGTTCCAACTCACTCACTTGGAAGTTAGTTAATCCCTGAGGGTAAAATGCCAATTATGCCAACCCTTACCTTACAGGGTGGTTTTGATGAGCACATTAAAAAACCCATATGAGAGTGCTACGTGAAGCACTCTGTGTGTGTTCGATAGAGGATGATGGCTAGACATGAGTGATTCACGGCATCATTTGCCTCACATCCCACATTTAAAACAAACTAGACCTGTGTCCCACATTCTTATCCTCTTCGGTGTATGGCAAAGTGTGTTTTGCTGAGCACTGCTGGAATGAGAGGTTTGGTCGGGTTGTAGGGAAGACAGACCTTAAGCCCCGGGAGGAAGGGTGATCCAAGGGAGTTTGCCCAGCCGCACGTCACTGCTCATTTCTAAGATGGCACATAACTCCCATGGTGTCAAACACTGATTCTACAGGCCATTGTGGCCCTGGGCTGGCCATACTTGGGCTAAGTTAGGTCTTAGTGTAAGGTAACTCACCAGTCTAGCTCTGTCCTTACTCTAGGGTATCTCCTCTTGGGATCAGATGAGGTTACCAGTGGTCCTGGAGAGGTCACCATAGAGATTACCCTTGCCATATGGGATATAAGATTTGAGGCCAAAGTGAGGGATATTGGAGTTCTGACTGATACGATATTGCACATCTTAGACTTGCTGGGGTGCCAGCTCCTCAGGGACTAGAACCAGGCTCAGTTCATTGTTTGGGCATCTGCAGTACCTGGGGCCTGACCGTGCAAGAGCCGTGGTAAATACTGGTTGAAGGATCAGTGACTCATCCACTCACTGGTTGGGAATAGTCTGGTGTTCCATGAAGTTGGGAAGTTATGAAGGCAAGAAGTACAAGTGTTCCACACTTCAGTAGAATTTGTAAGATTTATTGTTGAGATGTGTTATATCCCCACATGTTATTAAAATCCAAAAGGAAACTCTCTTCTTAGGAAAGCTATTGAACTATTATAAGTAATAGTTGGATTTTGCAATAAGAACTCTCATCTGACATGAGCACACCCCTGACTAATAAACATCGTGCCATAATACTGCAAGGCTGGGGAGCTCTAGAACTCCAATCCCTTAATTTCAAAAGAAGACTTAACTTTTCTGAAGTCCTAGATGAATCAGATCAAGTAAATACACCCCTGTGAGGCACCTTAACCCACTTGGGAAATGCAGCTGGGCGTCATGGTGAGCTTGGAGTTTTCCATTTTTTTCTCAAGTATAGTATCGTGTTAAATGTTACTAAAACTTGGGATGATAAATTGACCTAGAATGGAAATGCTCAAGAAAGAATACATAAAATTAAGTCAAGGCAAAGGTATTTAAATGTATCCATCGCCACATCTCCTATTACAGCTTTCTTAATAGGAGTCTCTTTTAGAAATAGAGTGTAGCATTAATTTTCATGAAATTGGAACTTAAAAGTTGTGCCAAAACAAAACAAGAAAACCAGAACGATTTGCAAAGGCCCTCAGGAGGACAAGATGTATCTGTTTAATGAAAGCAGACTTTTAAAATGCTTCAATTTTGAAAATGTACTGAGCAGATAATTTCTAAATGTTTTCTTTTTGAAAGAAAACAAAACTACAGGAACATTTGAAACATTCATATTCAAGCATTCAAATGAAATAAATAAGCAAACATTAACCACACCACAAGCAAATTACGGTTCTGGGGCACAGGGAGGGCCAAGCCTGTTCTCTTTCCATCCCTGAAGTAACTTCTCCCTGTGAGCCTTCACAGAAAGGGAGGCTGGAGGATTGTTTGGTGGTAGGATTTCAGTGTGAACCTGTGAGAACCGTAAATCCAGGGCCTGGGGCTGAAGGTGCCTTAAGGCAATCAGTCCTTGTGCTGAAACTAGGGAATCGCCTGAAAATGAGGCTGGTCCTGGATTCTCAGAGGGAGGAAGGATGTGGGAAGAACCTCAGGCCCAGATTTTAGGGGTTCTGGGGAGGATTTCCCTCTGGACGTGCTGAGCTAAAACCTGAAGGGGTTAGGTATGCACCTTAAGCATTGATTTAGTTCTCCTTTCCACTTGTAATAGTGTCGTTGTTTACTATAGATGACAGTCACCTGCTTGTTTTACGGGTTAATGTCTGAGCCCTTAGAAAAGACTGGGAATGGTCTTTCTCACATGGTTGTCCCAGCAGAGTTTTTCCTCCTTCCTGTGAGATTATAATCCCAGATATAAGTAATGACACCCCTCCCCTGGGAGTAATAATGGATAATAAGAGATGAATTTTGATAAGAACACTTAACATGAGATTTATTCTCTTTACAAATTTGTAAGTATACAATTTCTCATTGCTCACAGGCAGTGTCTTATGTAATAGATCTCTGGAATTCACCTTCTGTAACTGTAACTTTAAACTCATTAGATGCCTCTAGTTGTCATGCTTCTGTGCTTGACTTATTTCACTTAGCCTATTGTCTTCTAGGTCCATCCGTGTTATCACAAATGGGTTGGTTTTCCTTTGTTTTTAAGTCTGGATAATATTCCATCATGTGTAGGTAGCACATTTCCATTATCCATTCACCTCTTGATGGACGTTGAGTTGTTTCCACATCTTGGCTCTCTAAATAATGCTGCGGGGAACATGGCAGATAACTCTGGGAGATCCTGATTTCCACTCTTCTGGATATATACTCCCAGAAGCAGGGTTGCTGGGTCATACAAAGAAGAGGATACAGCTTTAAATTTTATTAATTGTTTTATGGGCTTTACCTGTATCCCATGTAAATTTAAAACGTAGGTACAGTGAAAGTGGAGTTCCCTCCTGCTCAGTTATCCTCTTTAGAAGCCAACAACTCCTACCAAATTCTTGTGTGTATCTCAGAGACATTTTTTGTTTATATAAGCACGCAAATGTTTCATAGGATTTTATGCAGATAATAACACAGTACACAAACTATTTTATATCTTCTTTACTTAAAAATCTTGGTTTTATTTCCATAGCAGTGCTTATAACTGGTATGTTTTTTTGTTTTTTTTTTTTGAGACAGAGCCTCAAGCTATCCCCCTGGGTAAAGTGCCATGGCATCACAGCTCACAGCAACCTCCAACTCCTGGGCTCAAGCGAGTCTCCTGCCTCTGCCTCCCAAGTAACTGGGACTACAGGCGCCCACCACAACACCTGGCCATTTTTTGTTTGCAGCCATCATTATTGTTTGGCGGTCCGGGCTAGGGATTCGAACTCGCCACCTTAGGTGTATGTGGCTGGCACCTTAGCCGCTTGAGCCACAGGCGCCGAGCCGGTATGTTCTTTTTAATGCCTGCATTATCCTTTTTTCTCTGGATGCTACTTCACATACCCAGTCCCATACTGGTGGGGTTTATATACCCACTCCCAGTCTTTTGCTATTACAGATGATGGCACGGTGTAATTCTTGATTATGTTTAGGATAAATTCCTAAAAATGAATTTAATGATTAAAAATGGTGGTACATTTAAAATTTTGATTGGTTCTTTGTAAAAATTATAGCATTTTTGATTCTCAAAATGGGCGGGTGAAAGAGTTTGTTTTCCCAGTCCCTTGCCAAAGGGTCATTAAAGTTTTTAATCTTTCCATATCTGGTAGTTAGAGATTGTATAGCAGTAAAATTTTGATTTGCATTTGTCTTAATTCTGAATGTGACTGAACATGTTTTCATGTGTCCAGGGTCTTTTTGTGTTTCCTTTTCTATGGATTTTTGGTTCACTGAGATATTTTTCTCTAATTAAATTGTAGAAATTCTTTACAAACTGTGACAGGAGTAGCAATTATCTTCCTCAGTCACTGGTATTTTTACTTCATTTATGGTGTTTTGACCATGTAGAAAACATTTAAGAGATAAATTTATTAAACTTTTCCATCTCCTGGTTTTTTGGGTTCCTCCTGAAGAAGGCCTTTTCTCCCATGGTTTCTTCTAGTATTTCTATAGCTACATTTTTCACAGTTAAATATTTTATCTATCTAGAAATTATGTTGGCAAATAGTACAAGGCCAAAGTCTGCTTTTTTTTGGTATCAGTACCATTTACTAAATAATCCATTGTTTTCCTACCAATCTGTCATGTGCCAATAGGAATTCAGATTTGTTTATGTGTCTGTGTGTCTGAAAACTGTTCACTTAGGAACTTGTCCCATCCCTTCCTGCCACCTGCCTTCTCCGACTGACCATTCTAGGCTCCCAGAAGCTCTCTTTCTCCTGAGTTTGTCAGTACCATTATCTCAGTAGTCAATGGAGTGTGATTTTGTCACGGCCTACCTTGGATGGTCCTGTTGTCATTTTGTCTAGTGTTGAGAAGTTTTATATGGTGATTG